CTTCCGTGCACCAGCATCTCCAGATGCCTCGCGTGTCAGGCGGTGCAAGGACTGCGTGTGCACAGAGCTCCTTTTCTGAATGTATGTGGAGCCCATGTGCGCATGAGTCTGAGTCATGGGCACGGAGGGACCAGGGCCTCCGAGGATGCTGAGCCATGTCGTAGATAGCGGACTCATTGTGTTTTATCTTCCGGGACCCTGGGTGTCTCCCTGGAGCACCTTGGTCCCGGGTGTTGGGTAGTGAGGGCAGGGTGGCACTAGGCCATGTGCTCAGGTCACACGTGGTGCTGGAAGGGGGCAGGAGGGTGTTGTTCAGGAGGGTGCTGCTGGGGCTCTGCTTATGGAAACTTTTGAGCCCCAGCAAGCAGGGGAACCCCAGCTAACCTTTACGTGGGGGCTGAGAGCCGGAAAGTTCTTTCGGTTTCCCTCCAGCGGGCTGGTGATGGTTCAGTTTCTTCTCTGATCCTTGCAAAGGCGTAACAAAGCCCTTCCGGAGGCCGGCCCCCTGGAGCTTTGGACTTAAAATCCTCCGGTTATGTAGTTACAGGGAGTGCTTGGGACTGAGTCACATCCTCCGAGAAGGTTCTGTAACTGCCGTCTGCTTCACGTTTGTGCTCAGGACGTGGCTGCACACATGATGCCCCACCCGCGTTCTCACCATGTTTGCAAGTAGTGCATACATGCTTGCAGTACTGGCTGCAGAAAAGGGTAGTGGGGAAGGCTGGAGGAGGTGCATGCTGACAAGAGCTGGCAAAACCAGGGTGCGTGTCACCTTACCAACACTCAGCCTGTGTTCGGGGCAGTTGTGACCCTCCTTGAGGCGCTGAGGTACTGAGCAAACCTCTGAGGGCCCCCGTGCACGTGCTCATGTGCTCTCTGACTGTTGGTGTATCTGAACGTGACCACACAGGCAGCAGAAGCCTTAGGTGGGATGCCAAGGCAGCACACTGGCACTTCTGGTAGCGCTGTGGTAGCTCAGGGAGAGGAAGGGCCTGGGCAGCCCCAGCCCATTTCCCTGCCCTGCCTGGGCTTTTAGAGGTGTTGTGTCAGCCCCGAAGAGAATCCAGATTGACAGAAATGGAAATGGACTTGTGTCACAGTGATTTTTCCCAGTTTTTCAGAAATGTGTGTGTATATGTGTGTTCATGTGCACCCATGCTTTACCATTGAGCCACCCATCTCCTCAGCCCCAGAGTCAGGAAATGGTTTTGAACTTCCTGTTCTCTGTGGATGTCTGGTCCATTGGTTCATGCCCCCCGATGCTGTGACACAGGTGGGGGAGCCTCACAGCCGACAGGGCACTGGCTGTAAGTCAGGCTGTAAGTCAGGCTGCAACCGGGAAGAGCCTCCCCTTTGCCATGGTTCATACCGTCATGGCTTGGTAAGCGCCTCGCTCATGCTTCTCCAGCACACCCACTTTCTCACCTCTCCAGAAATACAGGGCTGCTCCCAGCTCTCCTTCCATTCGTGCGTCCCCCCCAAACCAACCCCTGAGCCTCCTGAACCTTGGTATTGTGTCCCTTCCTTTCTTCTGGTCTCAGGCTTTGCTTTGGGGTGAGTTGGAAGGGCTCCTGGCTGACTGTGTGCCAATCCATAAGTCATGGACCACTGAGGCCAGCACCAACTGTCCTCTGTGGAGGTGCGAATGGCTCCAGGACGTCGGAAAGGTACTGACGCCCTCCCATGGGAAGGGCCAGCCTGTGTCCATCCCAGCATCCCTTTACTTCCTGTAGCTTTTGTCCACTTAACAGAACGGGGTGGTGTACAGAGACGTTCTGGCACTGTGTTCTGCAGCTCGGGAATTGTCAGCGCTCCCGGAACTTCCCTTCCCAACCAAACCAGTTTAATGAGCTGCTAGAGAGAGTTGCAACACCTCATCACAGATGCCTTCTGGAATCTGTCCAGTAATTCGCTTGTCATCCAGGAAGCGCTTTGGCTCCAGGACCCTGAGATGCCTAGGACACCTTAGTTTCCACCCGTATGCTGCTCTTCCAGGGGTGGATAAAACCTTTGGGTACTTTTGGATTTATACAAGTTCAAGGAAAAAACAAGGCCCTGAGTACTCAACGTGGTGGCAGAGGGCCGCCTTAGCATGCTCAAGAGGCGGGGTGCCATCTCCTGCCACTGCAAGGAAGCTAAACAAAAATAAAAACCAAATGGGGGCTTAGTAGGAGCCCTTGGTTAGGGGTGTAGAGGGCTCTGCACACTTTGGCCATGAGGACCCAGTACCCCAGGGTCAGGCCAGTGGAGTGTGGGGGTCCTGAAGGGTATGGAGTCTACAGGGAAGGGCTAGGTGTGGCATAGGGGGACATGTCTCAGGAGTGTCCCAGGAGTGGCGTGGGGACCATGGGATCTAAGAATGAGGGGAGCCTAAGGTTTGGTCTTCAGGGTCTGTTGTGACTGACAGCCCCCTGGGAGGTACCAAGGAGACCTGGAGCCCATTGTGCTTGGTCCTGTCTGGGGAGACTGGCTTTATGGATCCTGGCATTGGGAAGGAGCATCTCTGCAGGGGCCTCTCTGGAAGCCAGCTACCTGTCATTGTTCTTAGGAGCTCAGGGGTTATGTGACGCTAGCATGATCGTCAGTGTGGTCGCCATTGTCTCTTGCAGTTCTTCAGGGTGGGCCGCAGCATTGGAGGCTTGCTGGCCCGGCCTGTCCGTTCACCCAGGTGGGCCTGACACGCTTTGCCAGGCTTTCCTCCTGGGGGACCCCTCCCCTGCTTCAAGCCGCAGGAGGCTTGGGATGGGGTACCCTGGATACCAGGGCCTCTTGGGGGTGTTAGTAACGGGGCTCCCCGCTGATATTCTTGAGTTTCTCTAAGGGTACATCTCACCTGGAGTTACCTTCTTTTGTGAGGGACACAAAGTGTTTTTCATCAGTCTCTGACCTTTTCACTTGATGCTGCTCCCTGAGCAAACAGCTTCTCAGGGGTGGCCCCAGAGGCCTCCAGAGGCCTCCAGCGGCCTCCAGCAGCACGGGCCTGGAATCCATTAGGAATGTGCTTTCTTGGGTTCCCCTCCACTCTTCAGATCAGCTTTTCATTCACCAGTGGCAGTTTCGCTATGTGTAGGCTCCTGGGGTCTCCAGGAAGCCACAGAAACTAAGAATGCGAATCTCAGAGTTGGTGGCTCAAGCTTCTGGGGGAAGGAGAAGGGCCTCAGTGTATATGGTGTGTGCATTTGGAGTGTGTATAGATACCGAGGCATGAGTGAGTGAGTACGTGCGTGTGTGTGTGTGCATGCGTGTGAATGTGGTATGCATTTATAGGGATGCATATGTAAAGGTTCTCTTTTGGCATGTGTCTGCTGGAGCATGCGTGGTAAAAGTGTCACTAGCAGAGAAGTGACCAAGTTGCCTTCCCTGTGGCTGCTGACTTGACTATCTCCCTCCTGCCACCCATTCCCACACTCTAGTGAGGCCTGCCTGAAGCCTCGGTCCCACTCTGGCTATCACTGTCCACCCCTGTTCTGTCTCATGCAGTTTCAGTCAGGGTGACTGCCTTCTTCTTTACAGATGCCTAGTATGCGGACAGTTGGACAAACTGCAACCCCCTCTCTGGTCACCTGCAGATGGTCCTTGAGGCTGTTTCTGTGGCCTTGCTGTGATGTGGAGGACGTCCTTTGACACATCTTTATGTCTGAACGGGAACTGGTCGTGGTCCCTTTTCTATTGCATTGGCTGGGTAATTTATAAAGAGGGGTGCTTTATCCGGCTTACAGTTTGCAGTTAGGATGTCCAGGGCCAGGCTGCTGGCGTTCATTGAATATCTTTTGATATTCAATGGGGTATCATGGCGAGGGTGAGACAGACAGCATGTCAGTATGGGTCTCTGCATATTCTTCTAATGCCATCATGGAGGCCATATCCTCATGACTTCATCTAATTGCTTGCAGAAGTCCCACCTCCAGATGCCAGCCACACAGGAATATAGAGCTGTTTCTCCCTCCTGATGCTGGTGGAGTGGGGCCAACAAACTTCAACACATGGATCTGGGCGGTGTTCTTCCTACGGTAGCAGGAAATATGGCGGGAAATTCCTAACATCAGGCCTGGCAACTGTTGTTCCTTCTTCCTACTGTGTTAGGAGTTCCCTGGGCCATCCCCATCGCTGGCCCTGGCGATGGTCACTTCGTATCCCTGCCCACCCGGAAGAGAGGCAATGATGACCCTGAACCCCCCCCCAGCTCTGATTTGCCCTCTGTAGTTTTATGCACTGGTTGGGGAGTTTGGGGTATCCCAGGAGCCCCTAGGAAAGGCGGCCTTGGCATTTTCTGCCTGCTGTTTCTATGCCTCTTTGTGTGTGCGTTGCATAGTAAAACTCTTTCTGCTTTGATGTTGAAAAACCACAAATAAACAAAACCACAAATTCTGGTACTCCTGGCTTCTTATTTCCCCTATCTTCTACTTAAAATGGTTGACTGTGTACTAACACCAACATTTTTTGCTGTGTGGTTCTAGTTCAGGGGCCTGATTGGGAGTGTTACATTAAAACGTCATCTGTTCCAAAAGCTTTTAAAATGTTTGTTTGTCCTTTGTGTGTGGGCACCATGGCATGCATGTGGAAGTCAAAGGGCACCTTGGTGAGACTCGTTTCCCTCTTCCCATTCATGGGCACCAGGGGTCAAGCTCAGACTGTCACATTTGGGGGCACTCGCCTTTACCCAGCGAGCCGTTTCTCCTGAGGACTGGGTTATCCTTCACAGCCGGTGAGCTCCTACCTCCGTCCACACACCTGGAGTCTCCTAGTTTGTGCTGGGGACACTCTGCTGCTATGGTTAGCCCAGATGGGACAAGTCAGGGAGGGGCAGGCGCTGCCACCACCCGTCCTGTTCCTGGGAAGGGTTATCCGGCAGCGGTCACCTAACACATATGCTTTGTGCCGTGATAGACTGCTGTGTGTGTGTGTGTGTGTGTGTGTGTGTGTGTGTGTGTGTGTGTGAAAGAGAGAGAGACTGACTCACTTTAGCTCTGCTAATTCCCTGTTTCTAATCCTCGTTTCAGACTCTGTTGACACCACTGGAACCCAGCCCAGTGCTGGAGGCTGACATGTGTGAATACTGGTCCCTAGGTGAGTAACAGAATCTACCTGCCAAGGAAGACTCTTGGGAGGTGACCCCATGAGTCAGCATTGGTTCTGCTCTGTACCTGGCCCTGGGAGGTGACAAGAGAACCAAGAAAAGTCTGGCCATGAAAACTGAGCCATTCCTGCCAAAGAGGTCACTGTCTGGATGAAGGATGTGCTTTTAGTGGCTTTGAAGGCCCCATGTGGAGGGAGGTGGGTAGGCTGCCACCAAGGCATTTCTGAGTGAAGCCCATTTGGATGCTGATTTCCTCACTTTTTCCGTTGTGACGTAATACCCAACCAAAGCAACTTAAAGGAAGGGGGGGTTCGTTCTGTCCCAGTTTAAGGCCTGTTGTAGCTGGCGTGGTACCCGGAGCTTGAGGCAGTCAGTCAGGAGGCAGAGGGAACCGTGGCGGTGCTCAGCTTGCCTTCTTTGTATTCAGCCTGCAACCCCAGCCTGTAGGGACAGAGCAACCTCACATTCAGGGCAGGTCTTCCAGGCTCAGCCAGCCTCTGTGTGTCCACAGAGACACCCACTGGTGTGTGCTTCCGTATGACTCTAAACCCAGTCAGTTGACAATGGAGATTTACCATCACAGCCCATAGGTCAGCACCATCTTCCCACTTGCGGGCAAGACAGGAGGGCACTGGGTTGAGTCCTAGCATAGGACACCCTTACTGGTACCCCTGAAAAATCCCCTGGGGATTCTGTGCGCAGGAGTGCCCACTGAGTCTTTGAAGGTTCTTGGGGTTAAAGGTCATGGCTGAAGGGCCACCTCGGGTCCTACAGCAGGCTCCTAGGTGGCCTGTCTCCCCTTCTAGGGAGCTTCAAGAGCCATGGACCCCGCTTTTCTCTGTCCTCCCAGCTTGACCCTGGGGTAGGGAAGTCTGTGGGGGTAGCAGCTGGGAGGGTGACACGCCAGCCCTTTGTGATCACTACGCTTGTGTCTTCAGGGTGGTGGACGGCAGAGGTTGTCTGGGTTGGTCTCAGGCTCAGGAGGGCATCTATCTCCCACTCCTCTGTGAACTTACTGGGCCAACCTCATCCCAGCCCCCAAGTGCCTGCCACTTCGTGGTTGATCAAATCATGGCTACAGGGCTGAGGGGAGCAGCCATCTGGCCCCAGTACCTACCACGGCTAGGCCTGGAGACTCTTGACTGAAGGCCTGTAAGAACATACCTGTGCTCAGTGGACTTTCCAGACATGGCTTTGTCATCTTAACCTTCATTCCTCGAGTGTCTGGGTCTTGTCTGGACGCCCTGTTGGGCCAGCCAGCTGTCAGCACAGCACTCTAGCTGGTGGCTCTGAGATTTTCCAAGCCCCAGATTTCACATTGTGGAGACAGTAGTCCCCCTTATGTGCTGTTTCACTGTGTGCGTGTTTTGTTCCCTGAGATCAACAAGGAGCGAGAACGCAGTGCAGTGAGGCATCTCGAGAACAAGGAGAGGGCTCACACTTGCATGGCCCTTTGCTGTGCAATCCTGTAACTAGCTGCTGCTGCCATCTGAGTGTCAGTTTTTTAGAAAGGAACCCTGCCATGGTTTCTGTGTGCTTGGTGTGCTCTGCACGCTGTCAGTCACCCCCTGGAGGTCTTAGAGGGAGCAGGCCCTCGAGGATCAGGGGGACTGCTATAGTTTGTATGTAAAAGGCCGCCTGGAAAGGAAATACTTAGGAATATTAAGCTGGATATTGTAGGGTTTGCATCGAGGTGGAAGCTGAAATAAGTTTTCGGGATCTTTCCCAGTGTGAAGTGGCCCATGCAAGCAGTTTTGCCTTTGGTGGGTCCTCACAGTGGGGACAAAGCAGGCATTGTCCTTACAGTTCACCCCTGGGGGCCCCTTGTCTCTGACGCCATAGTGGAAATCTAGCCAAGAATCCAAGAGTGGCCTCTGGGAGAAGCCGGTGTGTCCAGGCTGGGAAGGCAGCAGCCAGGAGGCTGGGAGGCATGGTCCGGGGGTGCTTTGCTGTCCCTTGGGTCTGTTGGGAATACTGAGCATATGACAAGGCAAATGTCAGGATTAGGGACAGGCCTTGCTTGGTGGCAAGTTACACAGCTGTATGTCACCTGCAATTCTGTTCTTAGAGCCATTCTCCTGCCTTTGGCTGTGCTGAGGGGACGCATGGATCTGGGGAGTAAAGGGCTTTGGGTCTTACTGCATTTTTGAAGCTGCCTGAGCTTTAAAATCCTGTCTTTTCTGTGCTCTGGCTGGCTTGTCACAGTTCTGTAGTCTTTCTTGTGTTTTGTTTGTTTGTCTGTTTTGTTTTGTTGAGACAGGGTCTCATTGTGTAGCTCTGACTGCCCTGGAACTCATTATGTAGACCAGGCTGGCCTTAAACACATAGATATCTGCCTGCCTCTGCCGCTCAAGTGTTGGGATTAAAGGTGTGCATCACTATTCCCAGCTTCATTTTTCTTGTTTTTGAAGATGTGTTTATTTATTATAGCTACGTGTCTGTGTTTGTACGTGTGTGTATGCCACGTGTGTGCAGGTGCCCAAGGGGGTCAGAAGAGGGCATTGGATTCCCTGGACCTGAGTTTACAGGTGGGTGTGAGCAGGTGGGTGCTGAGAACTGGATTCCGGTTCTCTGCAAGAGCAAGAAGTATTTGTAGCCTCTGAGCCATTCCTTATCTCTCCAGCCCCAGCTGTGAGGTCTTAACCAGGATCATGTGTGCCTGTGACTGCCCGAGTGTGCCCAGTCCTGGAGTAGGCTCAGCTTAATGTACCTACTAAGTGTGCCCAACCCCTGAGTGTACCTAATACTCAAGTGTGCTACCCTCCTGTGTGCTCATCTGCCTTGGGACTGACAACTTGAATATAGGAGGGGTGGCTTATTTTTAGCAAATGTCTAAAATACAAGCTTTGAGTGGGGCCACTGTAGATTTAGTTAAATGACACTGAAACGAGAGATGATTACTTCCATGTGTTTCGTGAGAGGGCTTCTCTGGTCCTGTGGGTGCAGTACTGAGAAGCTATGATTGGAATAGTGCCCAGCCCCTTTCCCCCTTGGGCATCCAAGGTCTAGAAGGTGCTGATCCAAAAGCTCAGAACTCCTGCCTCTGCAGCATCAGTCAGACACTAGGCCCACAGCGCACACCACCGGCAGGCTTTGCATGAGAGATGTTCAAGATGCCAGGTCCTCCAGGGTCTCTGGTGTGACAGGAAGTGTGGAAGTTCAGCACTACCTAGCCACTTCAAGCGCAGAGGGGCCAGCCCTGACCTGGGGCGCGGCTGTTGGCCACAGCACAGTGTTCGTTTATAGTGGCTGAAGCACACTTGGGGTTAGACGTCTGTATTAGCAGCCCTGTGTTGCTTTCCTGTGCTCTAGACCCACACTGCCAGTCCTGGCCCAGTGCTGGAGTGTGGCTGTTCAAAGCCCGCTTTGAAGGTTCAGCCCAGGAAGGCACCAAGCAGTGCCCCTTTCTGAAGAGAGTCCAGTACACCCTAGAAGGTTGTGTCGAACTTGTGTGTGTCCTGGATTAAATGAAGTAGATTCTTAGAGAGTATCTACCCTCCTAACGTGGCCCTCCATTCGATCAGTGGCATGTGCCTTCTGTGTGTGTTGGGCAGTGTGGATCTGGGATGCTGTGGCTGCACCAGCCTGCCTTGCCCGAGGTGAGCCCTCACCCTGAAGACTAAGCGTCAGGCAGGCCTCCTGTGCTGCTCCTTTCTGTTGGGGTAAAGATACAATGCACTCGTTTGTAGCCGACTTTTCCACATCATGGTCGTGTCCTGAATGGTGGCCTGCTCAGCCTGCAAGTCACGTTTATGTGAACCCGGTGCCATACCTCTGTGGGAGGAGAGCCACCTCTTAAATACCTGCCCCCTCCCCCCATACCACGTGACTTGCTTTGGTAGCCTGCGCTGAAGGGCCGACGCTGATGCTTGTGCAGCTGTGGGGACCCGGCCCAGGCCTAGGAAAGGACCCCAGGCACTCCCACATCTGGCCAGGCTATTAATATCCCACAAAGGGCTCCTTTTTCCCTGTGGAGAGCCTGCACGTGGTGATGCCGTGATGCTCGTGAGCGGAGCCCATGACACGAGCCTTGAAGTTCTCGGCTTTCTGGAGGCACCACTGGGTTCCCATCTACAAGTCTGGGTCGTGCAGTTTCCTGCCTCCCCTCCTGTAGTACATGGATGCCGGTTCCCAGAGGGCAGGTGGAGCTGTGGGCCCCCAGGTGGCTTGTGGCCAAGAAGCTGGCCCTCCTCAGCTGTTTATACTCACACAACTTAGGAAGACTTCTCTCTGTAAGCCCAGGCACCTGGACCTCAGCGAACGGGCAATGTTAAACTGCTAAGGAAGACAGACCCCAGGTGGGGTCGCTCAGTGTGGGGAGAGAGAGTATATGGAGAGATCTGACATCCTGTTAAAAAGGAGGCCTGTCAGGACATAGGCCATGTGTCTCGCCTCTGTGGGCTTCATGTGTGGAGCTGGTCCCACAGGCATACCCTCCGTCTGAACCCTTCTGGTCCCCTGAGCTGAACATACAGGTTGGGAGTTGAATGCCCACCCCAGATAACCCATGTCTGCCGTCCTCCTCCCTCTCCTCCCTTTCTTCCTTCTCCCCTCTTCCTTCTGCTGCCTCACGTTTAGAAGTCACGGCCATCATGATCCTAGATTGTGTACATTTGACTGAACCAGGGGACTGCTTATTTGCCCAGAACACTGTAGACTGATGTTCTCTCTTCCCTGAGAACCTGGGAGGCCTGGGGGCGTTAATCATGGTGGTGGGTGGTGTAGGCAGCGGTAAATACAGGGGGCAGACCCCTCTCAAGAGACCCGCACCCGGCCATTGTGCGTTTCTTTGCTTGCGACAGCTGGTATAGCTCCCTTAGGGATGCCAGGTTTCTGACCCTGGCGCCTTGTTGATGTGGTCTTGTGTGAATGGCTCCTGTGGGTGTGAGCAGATTGAAGGTCTTTTAGTGGAGAGCTCGTTTGGGCCTATGTGGACCTGACTGCACGGATGTAGTTACAGGCGCCCTCGAGGGAAAGGGAGGGACAGGGG